AGGATTAAGAGAAGGGAAGGTTCCTACAGCCAGACAGTGTTCTTAAGATCACTCCAGGGGTCGTTATTATAGACTTTATTAGGGGAGACTGATGAAAATTGAGGGTTGATTGCCTTGCAAACATAGGGCCTAGACTTCAAAAACACCCTTACATCTCCCAGTTCAATACCACAGAATGATTGGCAGGCTGGGCCCGGAGTAAGACAATTTGGGGTTCAAGCTTCAGCTGTGCTGCCTATTAGCCTGGTAAACTTAGGAAGTGGTTAAACATTTTTGAGCCTCTGTCTAATTATCTGTGAAACTGAGATAACAAAGGTGCCTACCTTGTAGAGGTTATGTGATGACAAAATGAGGTGATACTCGTAAAACACTCAATAGAGCATTCAGCTCCTTTACTCACTGTGTGTGTGTGTGTGTGTGTGTGTGTGTGTGTGTGTGTGTGTGTGTGTCCCCTTGGCCTTTCCAGAAGTCCCCTGTGGTGCTGTGTGGAGTCACTGTTAGCAGTCACTCAGCACGCAGACCTCCAGCAGCCTTGGGGCCTCAGCCAGGAGGGCACAGGCAACACCTGGCTGACTTGGCAACATCAGGGGAGGGCTTAACTGTGTTTCAATCAAGTTTCACCAAATTGGCAAAAAGCTTTGTCACATATTTTATCAGGTACTCGACAAGCTTGAGGCAAGAAAGGAGAAGGCATAAAGGGAAAAAAGAAATAGAGTGAGCAATGCAGACACTGGCCCAGGTTGCTACTCATGGAATCCAGGAAAGGTGACAAGAGTTCAGGCCATTCACTGACCTGCATTCCTGATACTCAGGTGGGTTAGGAGGTGCAGAATGCAGACTCTCCAGCCTGGAGTGTCTTGTAACTCCTCTCAGCACTAGGAGGATTTGCCTGCAGGTCCCAGACCTCAGCCTCTACATCCCTATTCCTAATAAGGCCAGAAACAGGGAGGAAGCCAAAATGAAGCTCTTTCAAATACCAGAGAGATGTAAACAATGCTATTGGTCTCCCCCATAAAAGACAATACACATAGAAATAAATAATTTCCTATCCAACTAAGAATCTGGATGCCTTTTCTTCAGAGCAACAATCTGTCAGCAGTTCCTGCGACATGGAGGCTTGAGTCAGAGTGAACTCCAGCCAAGATCACCATTTGTAAACTCACAAGGAGGAACTTCAGATTGGGTTGCACTCATGCCCTTTGACCTCACATTGGGCTAATTCTCAGAGATATCTTTCTGGAATCATTCCATTTCATGCATGTGGGCCTGTCCATGGCTAGGCAGGGCCCACCATGTCCAGCATTGTCATCCTGTTTTTTAGACAATGCTTATTCACCTTATATAAGAAATTAATGGGTTTGATCTCTTCATTCTGTTAACTGCCATTTTTCTTAAGGAAATATGAAAACTGATTTTTCCCCCAAACCCAGCCCAAAGGAAAATAGCTTTCCTGTGGGTGGGAAGGAGTATGGGGGCACTACATTTGTTTTACCTCCTTCAGTTGCCAGTCTTCCATGGGCTCCCACTTGCTTACTCTGTAATGAAGCCTGCTGCAGTAAGATTTACCAGCCTTCTTGAGGCTGGGGCACAGTGTGTTTATGGGGGCAGAAGGTGGAAGGTCCAGTTCTGACTCTGTCTTTACACAGCTCTTTCTAGGCAGACACTGCCCGTTCACATCACTTTTCCTTTCTGTATCTGTCCCCCTACTTGCAAATAAAAGGTTATACCCACTTATCCCTTAGGCCCTCTCCAGCCCGGAAATTGTTTTTGGAAATCCTAAGAAAACATTTATTCTTCCCTGTTAGACTTATTAAGTTTTATATCCTTCAGGAAACACAAGCTGTACATATAAGAAAGCAGAAACCATATTTCAGAATGTCTTAGGGTTTTGGAATGTTGAAGCCTTAGCCTGCGAGTGATGGTTTAGAGATGTGGCCTTTGGGAGGTAATTACATTTTGATGAGGTAATGAGAGTGGGTCCCTCATGATGGGATCATTACCATCATAAAACACACCAGAGCATCTGTACTGTCTCTTTCTCTTCCCTTCCTCCCCCCATCCAACTTTCCCAAGGAAAGGCTATGAGAGAAATAGCTGGTAGGTGACCATCTTCGAGCCTGGAAGTGGACGCTTGCCTGAAACTGAATTGACTAGCACCTTGATCTTGGACTTTCAGTTTCCAGAACTGCAAGAAATAAGTTTATTGTTAAGCACTCAAGCTGTGGTACTTAGTTATAGCCGTCCAAGTGGACTGAAACAGCCAGCATTCTCTAGGAGAGCCAGGGTGTCTTAGCCTTGGCTGTCTTCATGCAGAAGGAGGACTCACCACCAGGCAGTCAGGGCAGCATGGAAGGTCCCATCAAATATGGCAAAGCAGAGGTTTCGAGTGTCTCATTCAAGTGATAATAACCTACACTGTCACACAATTTCATGCATCATTGATTTGTTAGGAGTAGAAACTACCTGAACTAGACCACAAAATACTCTAAATAATTACATAGTAGGTAATCATGGGAAATGAATGACCATTTCCAGTCCTCTTTGGAAGAACGCAGGGAAGGAGTATGAAAGTATATTAATAAGAATTAAACCAGAAAATGGGAGTCTGCAGCAACCAAACTCATTCTCGGAGCATGTCATCTGTAGTACTGTAAGGATTTCCACAGTGAAGTTTTTAGCTCCACTGGAAATGACAATGCAGGTGTCACCCTGAACAACATAGATCTGAAGCAGCATCATGTACATTCTTCTTCTTTCAGAACCGATTCAAATGTCACCTCTTCTAATGACTTTTTTAAACGTCATTTGAAAAGGACATTTGTGTATTTTACATTCTGTATTCTCCTTATAGAATTTATTAATCTTTTCTTAGGGCTCTCATTGCAAGTCAGTTTTACTTTTATAAAGTACTTTCCACATCATCCTATAGGAAATTGAATATCCTTTCTGTCCTACTAGACGGAGAACTCTCCAATGGCAAAGCCATGGACATAGAATCTGCTCATTAAAAACTTGAATGAATGAATGAATAGATGCTTCTTTAAAGATCTCTTTGTTTGTCTCAGACTTCCAGAGATACTTTGACTGGGCTACCAGACAGAGGCTCTCTGCCTCCATCTGCCCATATATGATTCTAATGAACAGAAGTTAAACAGAGTCATCTTTTTGCCCTTAGAATCTTTAATCAGCCACAGGGACTGCCAGGAAACAGCCAGTAAGTTCCAAAGGTCACATGTGAAGTTCCAATGTTTTAATAATATTTATCCTAACTGTTGTTTTGTCCATATTTCAAGTACTTCCTGATGTGTCTTTATTCCTAAAACTGTTGACTGTTCATGGCCATCAAAAGACTATTATTACAGCATGGAATACCATGTAGCCTGTCTTCCTGTTTAGTATGACTCTCTTGTAATTCATAGTCTTGATCAACTTATTTTTATTTTTTATTTTTCTTTTCTTTTTTTCAGTGCTGGTTATTTAACTCAGGGCCACACACATGCAATGCAAGTACTCCAAGTACTCTACCACTGAGTTATACCCCAACCTCCACCAACTCCTTTTAAATAAAATCTATTATTTTGATGAAAATACAAATGTTAAGTTGAATACAGACTCTGTAGCACAGTTTTCTATCAACTCCCAAATCTGTTGCATGGGGTAGAATCATAAGTCAGCAGATTTTATGTGAATGCTTCCCCATTAGTCTTTTATCCTTTCTTCTACTCTGGTATCTAGCCTAAGTTCTCCTCCTTCTGAGTCTTGATCTTGGTTGGCCTTTACCTATGTGCATGCTTCAAGGAAATCTCCCAAGGGAATGTAAGGTTAAATAGTTGAAACCTAACAAGATGTCAGCAGTGGGCATATGTCATGGTGGAATAACAAAGAGTTAGACAAGAAACTTACCCTCTGATAGCACAGATATTTCCAGAGTAGTGTCCTCAGGACTCACTACTGGATTTGATGTGATGTGTGAGAGACAGAGATGCATGAAGGATGGTGTCCCAGTTTTTAATGAGTAAATTTGTGAATGGGGGTCCCACCTACCAAGATGGAAATGAGTAGGGAAAAGCCACTTGGGGGAGGAAAAGGAGGTGGGGAGGCAAGCAAGAGAAGTATTACCTAGAAGGTGAGATCCTAAACCTGTGTCTACCAGAGTAACTAGCACATAGAAGCCGCTCATTAAACAATAAATGAATGGATAAAACAGATGGGTAAATGAAGGATGGAAGGGAGAGACAGAAAAGGAATTTAAAATTCTATAAAACATGAAGAACACATGGCAAAATGATATGATGGTGAAAATCCCAGGCTGGGATTTCAACAAACTGGGTTCCAGCCTCAGAATATATTTCCAAACCTCAGATCACTCCTGCTAGCTTCTGTTCTGGGACCTCCCGCCTCTTTTCTCCTCTGTTGGAAAAGTGCTCACATATGTATTCATCACAGCCACCAGGTTCTGCTTCCCTGTGCTAAGTGCCAAGGGCCAGCGAACAGCCAATCAGGGAGGTCCTCTACTTTTGCTGCAGGGTGGGGCAGAACTGAAGTCCCTCTGCAGACACAGCTTCCTTTCCTGCCAGTCAGCACACAGGTCCGACCACACCTCTCTCCCCATTACATGCACCTCAGCATCCCTCCAGTTGTTGTGAAGCCAATGCCCTAGCCATCCAGTCAAATTCCAGCAAGTTAGCTGGCTGGGAGGGACAGTCTCACGAGAAGGGGATGAGACTAGTTCACTCCACTTACTTGAGCTGACTGACCCACTAAATTGCTCCTACAGAGCCTTCAGGCTGGTTCCTACAGAGAGTCACAAAGCAAGAGGAGAGCAATTAGTGGGAAGAATATTTTTTAAAAGTCACCTCCACAATCATGGAGGGCACAGTGTAAAATGAGAAATACCTGTGACAGTACTGTAAAACAGCTGCGGGGCAAGCACCTCACTGCTATTTCACATATTATGTGGTTTTCACATAGTAACTGCTTTTGTACTGGGTCTTTCATAGGATTGAGGGTCCAGAGCCTGCCTACATCAACCTCCTTGCCTGTTTCTCTTCCGGCAAAAATAACCCCACCGGCCTCTACCTGGACCAGCTCTGCACAGAACCCTGTGGCTCTCACGGCGTCCCCAGCCAGTGGCGTTCACAATACCTCGGTACTCCCAGTCACAGACATAGCCCTGACATCTGCACTGCCCAAGCATGTGTCCATTGAACCCACAGAAGAGGCAATCACCAGCCCATCCTCGAGCTGGGAAGGCACAAACCCAGGCCCCTCGCTTCCTGGGTTCTTATCAACCAGCAGTGTGGTCCACGTGACACCCACGCCCGAGGAACACAACGCCAGCAGTCCTGAAGTAAGCGTGCCAGCTGAAGGGTCACAGTCCCCTACATCCCTCTCCCCTCAAGCTCCGGCCTCTTCACCCTCCTCCTCCTCATCCACCTTGCCACCTGAGATCCTTTCTGCCTCTGTCACCTCCAACCACAGCACCACTGTGACCAGCACCCAGACCACAGGAGCTCCAGCTACATCAGAGTCCCCAACAGAGGAGCACAGCTCTGGTCACACACCTACTTCCCAGGCCACAATGGAGCCAGTGCCCAAGGAGAAAACACAGCAGGAAACTGAGCCCAAGACAGTGATATGCGAGTCCGAGACCACCACCACCTTCCTGATCATGCAGGAGGTAGAACACGCGTTAAGTTCAGGTGAGTCTCCATCTGGACAACACAAGTGTTCTTGCCCATGCTGAGACGTTAAGAACCCATTCTGTTACCCAAACACGACTCCGTTGGAGTTTTGGAGTGTGACACCTGAAGGTAATGATAACTTGCAAGAATTTCCATAAGAATGCAAATGTTAATTTTTGTCACTTGATAATTTCCACATGACATATTATTCATTAGAGCTGATGGTCACCTACCTGTTTTGTCTTCTTGTCTTCTTTCAATGTCACAGAGATTATAAATGAGTGATGTTATAGAGTGAGAGGATTAACGACATGACCTTGGATCAAGCTTCCTAGATTTCCATTCTGACTCTGGACCTTGAGCAAGTGACTTCATCTCTTTGTGCCTTTGTCTTTTCTCACATATAAAATGGGCACAGAATAGGTTCTACTGCATACTATTCTTGAGGAGATAAAATGAGATTTTGACATATAAAGTGCTTAGAATAGCTCCTGGCAGGGAGTAAGTGCTCAGGAAATATCAGTTATTATTCTGCTCAGTTTTTTAAAGAAGTGTTTACCTCTTGGAAACCAGTCGAAGTAGGGTAGAGATGGAGAGAACTTGCTTATTCTTTATTGTCACTGATGTAGTTCATGGGAAAGGCAATAAATTTTACAGGGTATTGCATTTGTTTTGATTCTCCCAGCAACACTGTAAAGTTATTATTTTTATCTTCATTTTGCAATCTTGGAAATTCTGATGGAGCAATATTTAGGATCTTTTCTGAGGCTACATGTATCTGCCACCAATGTGAAACTGTAAATTTTAGGGTGTGGGATGGGAAAAGGCTTTCATGGGAGCGGGTCGTTTGGCTGAGATAGAGTGAGGTGAGAACAGCCAGAAGGTAAAGGGGGCAATGGAGCGGCAGCTTCCCCTGAGTGGGCCCGTGACAGGCATGGCTACCCAGAATATTCTGGACAGGCGAGGGTCAAATGAAAGGCTGTCACCGAGAAGAAATCCACATCTTTTAACAATAAATGAGCACTATGAGTAAAAACCATGCTAGATAGTGTGGCGTGAAGACAGAACTAAGATTAACAAAGACCTGATTCTTCCTGGAAGAGTCCACACTGCGTAAGGGAAAAGTCCCAAAGAATTGTAAATTCCTATTTCAAAAGGCTCAGAATATCAGTGAGGGTCCCAACAAGAGAGACTTTCAAACGGAGATAAAGGAACAAATTACGAAATCTGGCAGGGGACCCACAGGGGGTCTTGATCAGGCCTGAGAGGGAAGAAGGGAGTAGTGACCAGAACCCAGAAGGGGAGAGGCCTGTAGAAGAGACCGTCTTGATGGGAGCAGTGACTCCTGGTTGAAGGACACCTCTGTTCCAAGGTCAACTGCCTGTGAAGGAAGCACTCTGCCCTCCCTCTCCCTCTCTGATTTGGATACAGAAACCAAGAAAGCTATTAGTAGTCCCAACAGTTCAGCCTCCTAGATGACTACTCACAGAAGGGTCGGGGGTAGAACTGCAGAGGCCAAAGGAGGTTATCTAGTTCCCATCCCCTTGGTACCCTGTTTATACCTGCAGGCCAGCACTTACGGCATGACCATGGGTGTGCGCCTTCTGTCTCTGTCTCTATCCTGCCCCCAACCCCCAGCCCCACCACCATGACCCCACCCCACCCTCCCTCTCATCATGCGAGTAACAAACATCTGTGGCATTGAGGGGTGCCTAGAGCAGAGTGGGAGTCTTAAAGACTATCTCTAACAAAGTGGACATCCAAGTATGGCCTTGTAGACATGGCCCCCCATTGCTTTTCTCTTTCCTGGTTCAGTCTTCTACTACCACCTGTGTGCACTACTTCCATTTTCCAACTGGTCTCCCTCGTTCCACTCTCTGTCCCCTCCAACATAGTACAGACATGGAAGATCAATAGTCCTGAACAAAAAGTCTGAGCCTGGCATATTCAAATCCTCATAATCTGACACATCCATTCCTTTCTACAAGTACTCTGGTTTCTTGAAATTTTTTTTAAGAGCTCTGTTCTAATATTTCATCTTGATTTTTAGGCCACATGTCTTGGTATCTTCAACTCAGCTGGGTCACGAGCACAAATTTAGTGGCAGAATTGGGTCAGAACCTCTGTAGTTCTAGAGAACTTGCACACAGTAGAACTCCAGAGTAAATGAATGAAGGAATGCTTGCATGGATGGGAAAGAGATTGGCATGGCAGGTGAAGGGGAGATAACTAAGGATGGACCAGTGTGCATTTCACAGTCCAGAGAAGATTTATCCCTCATGATCTAGTAAAGAAAAGAATGCTTATTGTGCTTGATGTAGAGTGTAAGTTCTGATTTTTGAGTGTTAGTGTTTTTCATAGTTCAAGGAGAGAAAGGTCACAAGCACAAGGAACTCTTCACACCTCCTTAGTTTCTGACAATGAACTGAGATGGGTGGAAGGATCTTTGGGACAAAGTGGTACAATCTCAAAGTTCATTTCAAAGTTTCTTCAAACTGTGTCCCGGAAGTCTGAAGTGTCTTGCTCAAGGTCACACAGTTCAGTGGCAGAGATGGCCCCAGAGCCAGATCCCTAACCCACAGTCAAGTCCCTGTCACCACGCAGCATTGTTGCACTGCTCCCCCTGAGAATCTGCCTCCAGGATCTGGGGATGTTCTTGTTCAGTGACTTGTGTGCTGTCTCTGGTAGGGGCAGCGTAAGACTAAACTTTTGCAGGATCATCTGGCTTATTCCAAGTGGGTTCACACAACATATTTCTCTTAACCAAGGACTCATCTGCTCAACAAATACCAGAACATAGTCACCAATGAATAATTTTGAAGGAAGACAAATGCTTTGGATGCTAAGCCTGACTACAGGGATTGGGGAAGGCTCCCTAGTGGAGGGAGCTAGGAGCTGAGCTGCAGGAGATAAAGGGGATTAGGGTTTAAGAAGAGCAAAAGGGGATTTCAGCAAGGGTATTTCTTGTGCTTGTGTGTGAAGGTGAGGCTCAGGGGCATGACAATTCTGCACACACAATGCTACAGAGAACCCACCACCCCCGCCCCCTGCCAGTTGTGAGCACTGAAACCGCCCTTGGTGAGGAATCAATGCCTTCCACATTTCCAGTTCTGGTGGTTAATTCTCAGGCCTGGTTTCAGCAGACCTGTCAGCAGTCTTGGACCAGGACTGTTATGGTGACTGCCCTCATCTTTAAAGCCCTGCCTCCACTAAAGTCCTGGACAAGTTCTGTCTTGGTCCTTCACCTATTCTGACCTCTGCCTCACTTCACCCCCTCACCCTGCTGCACCGTACAGGTTGAGCAGTCCAGGGCCACCACTGTCTTCTTCCCTCCACGATCTCTCCATCTTAGAGTTCCCTTCCCTCTCCTCCTCCCTCCACACTCATTCTTGAGTTGATTGCACCTTGGTCCGTGACTTTAAATGACATCTGTATGCTGATTCCCTGAGATATAAAATTCTATCCCTGTTTTATATCATTGAAATCATATGAGATGAGTTCCTCACCTTTCAGTGTGCTCCTCCCTCTCTCTAGCCCTTTTTTCTTTCAGTTCCTTAGGCTAAGACCCTGGCAGTGATCCTAGACTCCTTTCTTTCTTTCTCACATAACTCCCCATCTGACCCATTGGCTCTGCACTGATCACTCCTCACCCTTCCATCATCTCTCAAGTGGATTACTCTATCGTTCCTGTAACTGGTCTCGCCACTCACCACAGCCTTGTCAGAGAGAGCCTTTTAAAACTCACAGGACTTTAGGGTCTGTTTGATGTTTGTCCTGAACTCTGCATTGCTGTCTGATAACCAGCCTCAGCTGCCTCCTAGTCAGAGGAAGAATTCAGAATCCAAATGCTCCTCTGACCTTGACCTCTTTTTCCAAGGATGTGGCTGGTGCTCATGTCAATCTTCCTATCTGAGCTCTACAAGGTCAAAAGTGAAGGGAGGGCTGCCTTGTTAGGCTGATGCCTGTGTGGTCAATTCAGCGGCCAATAGCCAGGTGTGGCTTTTGAACATATGAAATGTGTAGTCAGTCCCATTTGAGATGTTCTGTAATAGTAAAATACACACTGGATTTCCAAGACCTAGTACTAAAAGAAGAATGGAAACAATAATTTTTAGATTGGTTGCATGTTGAAATAATAACATTGGGGTAAATAAAAACTTTTTTTTATAAAAAGCTCAGATCATATTCTGCTGCTCCTTGGCTATAACTTCTATAATTGCTTCCCCTCTGAATCAGAGTAAAGGGCAAAGTCTGTTTTGTGCCCACAATGCTCAGCATGATCTGAACCTGCATGGCCTCTTCTTCCACTCTCAAACACGCTGGCAATCTTTCTGTTTATTGAACATACAAATAATACGCCTGCCTGGGCCTTTGCACTTATTGTTGCCCCTGCCTTAAACATTCTGTCTCTCCAGGCCTTTAATGGCTCTCTCCTATTCATTGTCAGGACTCTGTTTAAAGCCTTTATTCACTTCCTTATCTGAAATAGGAACCCCATCATTGTTGGTCTCTCTGCCTCATTTTATTTATCTTTTAATTGCTAACTATTTTCTGACTTCATCTCCTTTATGAGATGTGTGCCTGTTTTCTATCACTGGACTGTCAGGTCCATGAAAGTAGTGGCCTGTTCACAAAGAGGAAGATGTAACTTATATCCCCAGTTTCTAGAACAGAGCCTGACCCATGGTAGGCTTTCAATAACATTTGTTGAATCAATGAATTGAAGAATCTATCAGCTAGTATCAGGGAAGTTGTTTAATCTCTCTGAACCTATTTTATCAGTCAGATAGAATACGGCTAGCATCAGCATGATGGAGTTATTCTAAGGTTTGGATGAGATAATAAATTTCACTATTAAGCAGTGGCTTAATCAGTCAATGATTCATATTTTACTACTATTCACTGTTATTGTTACTACTATTTTTCTGTTACAGTTATCATCATTATTACATTTACCATAAAGAGAAATACCCTCTATCTTTAACACTGAACTTTCACTATGAGCTGAGCATCTGGCT